TTTTGTTGAAGTTCCTCCAAGATGGCCGCTGTGACGTATACACCCTTTTAATAAGTCCCAAGGTATTGTGTTCTCCGCACTTGACGTCAAATTTATTCTTTTCAATTCCTTTTGTATTGAAAAAAATTCAAAAGAATAAATTTGACGTCAAGTGCGGAGAACTCAATACCTCGGGACTTATTAAAAGGGTGTATAGTGAAAACGAAGAATTGAGGGGTTCTCAAAAAGCCTTGAAACAAATACTGGCAATTAACCTCGTCAAAGCTGTATAGTTTACTAGTAACTGAATATTTGAGTGGTAGTTCAAAGAGATCATACAGGTATAAAACAAACTTTGAATGCTGTTGTTGGGGCATACGAGCCTTTGTTTCTGATTTGCAGACTGTACTTGGTCTAACCAAAATATCGCAATGGTCATCGTCTATATTCTCTATTGTCGGCTTTTTACCTATCGGCGTAAATGTTAAAGAGTCATAACCAACCCCCTTACCTTGCGCGCTCGTATTATTGTTTACATACGTTTAAATGAGTCAAGGATACAATAAATTATAGATTGATAGTACCTGTGAGGTACTTAGTTAAATGTATTTCTGTCCAAACTGAAAGGACGGAAGACGATTCGCGCTCACTTTTAAGAAATTGAAACTGAAACTGTTTTATTGCTCTTTTTTGCTTTTAACTTAACAGAAAAAAGGTGCTTGTAATAAAAAGATAAATAAGTATAGAGAATATGCAAATTTATGTAAAAGRACRAGAGYCAGRGGGCTAAATTAACTAATAAGTTTTCTAGTTAGCCCCCTGTCATTTAGTGTTACATTGGTAGTTACAGGCAAGGAGAAAAACAATAAAACATAAGGAAAAAAAGAATATGCAATTAATTACTTACACAATAGTTACTTACAATAGTTACTTACAAAAGTTACTTACACAATAGTATAAAATAGAGTACGAACAAGGTAGACAATAGTTTGAAATGATATGGTAGGTTAAGGAGACTCAACTTTTACATTTATAGGTTTCAATTCTTTAAGGATCAAGTCCTTAACCTGCTCAAGAGAAGTCATCCGCCATTTTCGTGTCCTCCTAAAATGGCGCTTCGGCTCGCAAGGTACGGCGGTTGGTTATGATTCTTGAAATTTTCCAAGAAGTGAGGTATGCCAGGAATGCATCCACAAACAAAGAAACAAATAACAAAAGTTAGGATATTATAATGGGTCCACGGAGATACGAACTTTATCTTCTCGTGATGAAAATAAAATCTCCCACTCGTTCGCGTTTCACTAGCAGCATCTCGGCCCTCCACAAGTCCGTTTAGGGCCGCTACGCAGGCTATGCTGGATTATGTGTTGAACTCGTTGAACTCAAGATAATCGCTTGACTTATAGCGTGCCGAAATTATGAAACATCTTGTGAATAATACAACGTAACTTCAGGCAACATTCATAAATGCCGTATCAATAACTCGGAAACCAATTTTAATYGTCACAAAATCGACTGTTGAATAAAAAGGAGTGTCTAAACGTCAGGCATRCTGACGGAATGATCAAAAAAACTAAACGTCAGGCAATCGATTTTTTTAATCCATAAACAACCTGCATTATTTCAAGTGAAATGGAAATGTCCGAAATAATACTGTTCGACAGAGTTGTATACACAACGCCCCTTTGAGATTTTTTTTAGAAATATCAGCTGCAATCGACTTTTTTAGAAAACATTGTTAGAAAAATCATAATTTCACGTAACAGAGAAAGAAATTTGCCAAGAAGTCCGAAATAATACTGTTCAATGGCGACAAGGTTTACATACATGTATATCTCGTACACAATCACGGCACTCACTATATTTTCGATTGCCTGTCACACTGCTGACAGCCGAGGCAAACTGAAACGTCAGGCAATCTTTTTTCTTTTCTTTTGAAAAATTGATAGAACAACCATAAGTTCAAGAAATAATTCAAGTAATAATTCAAAGAATTTAGTTTTTCGGAACACTCCGAAAGTTTCGATTGCTGCCTGGTTTCTTGCTCTGTCTCTTGAAATGATGATTTTTCTAGCAGTTCGGACCATAATCTTCATCAATGTAGAGTGGTTCAGTTTCATAAACCCGTGAAACAATGTGKGATAATCAGACTGTAATAGATCTTAATAGTCGCGTAGAGACAATAAAAAACAAAAGAGCCAAAGTGTAATAGCGATAAATACGCTAAAGTGTGTTTCACGGGTTAATGAAAACCACTCTAATACCCGCGATCGTATAAGCTTTAAGAATWCCRCATTGGCCTGAATGGGTATGTTTATTTCTATTTGATTACTATTGTTGTTCTAGATTTACAATTTGTGTAATTTTGCTTTTCTTTCATTTTGTTCGATTTTTTATAAGAATTTATAGAATCATAAAAATAGGATGTATAATTATTGAAGGACCAGTCCTACAGAGGGCCATTCCTAMAGTCCTTGTCTCACCTTGTCAGTTCTTGTCATGTAGTCACTTGCAAATATCTCTTATCACATACGCTTAGAAATGTTCCTAYAATTGACATGTCTTCGGATCACACAATGGTTAAAAAACTATGGMAGTGTGACGTCATTTCCATGGAAACCTAATCGTTACGGAAAAGTACTAAGCAAATAGCGGTAAATACTGCAATATAGTATATTTAACAATTAGATCTCGAGGGCTAGTGGACTACGAGCTGATAGCCCACGAGGCCGAGAGATTTAATTGTTTTAGTATTACCATACTAGTTGGACAAAAAATATAAATAACTAAATGTTTTTATTGCTAAAAATACGCAAAAAGTTGTCGCTTTTCGCTAGTCGAGAAATATTGAAAATACACCCCGAGAAGCGAAGCCAATCAGAACGAGGGATTTGCAATAGTCCACTAGTATGGTATTACTAAAAGACAATAGCTAAAGGGAATTTGCATAATTTGGTACATTCGTGAACCATGAAAAACGTGGTAAAAGATCATTCTGTGAAGGAGGGTGATATGGTATCTCTAATTTKATCTAATTATTACATTTGGAATGAAATGCTTCAATACAAAGAGTGGTGGTATTTTTCTGGAATTGCTGAAAGAAGTCCTGTTGAGTCAAAGAGAGTAAAACAATCATTATACACTTGCCTGACTACTGTATGCTAGGTAAGATATATATAAACCTCCAATGGAATACAATACACATGTTCAATTGTACACGAGTACTAGTCGTGCACCAAGTCATACCTTAGGGTTGCAGGATAGTCCCACAGTGCCGCAGGGAATGTAGATCCTCTATGGGGATCCCCGGAGTCAGGGGGAGTTACAGGGATTCATGATCCACCTTAGATTCCASAAACTTGCGGTGATCYATTTCTATCCACTATGGAGTTCTCGACATTTTCGAAATTGGAGCGCTCTCAACAGTTTTATCCCTCTGGGTGACACAAAACAAACGACAGGGCCAACCAAAAATAGGGACACTAGCCTACATTCGATACCTTTTCATTGATTTGCAAGCTAYGACTCCAGACCACTGTAGATCACTGTTTTGACTATAGGCTCAGAGGAACAGAGAGAGAGGCGCATTCGACAATAATGAAGTATCAGAAGAATTGACAAAATTCAACCAGGTAAGTCATCCCTATATCTCACTGTTGGGATTTGAACTACCACCTTGTGGAGGATCCATATGTCCAGTGGCCCCATTGCGTCCCTGTGGCACTTCCCTATGGCCCCAAGGTATACTTTGGTGCAACACTTTAAAGCGTGAAAAAGGACATATAATATTTATTTCTGTACCTTTACTTTCAATCCAGTTTTTGTTGAAAAGTCGTGTAAAGTACCGCTGAAAAAAAATCAAATGTCATACCATACACGCTCTGCAGTGATGTGTCAACACACAGTTATTGCAACTAGATAATTTATCGTTCAATAATATAGGTAAAAAAACGCTGTGTCTATATGGCCGGTTACCGGTCAAGGTCTTGAGCCTGACACTGGCAATAATCCTTTAACTCTTAAATTTGAATAATAAAAGATGCATGAAAAGAGAAATCTNAAGAAACTTTTCCGTATTACACAGGCTTTTGGGGTAATTTTTGCACAATCCTGTGTACTCATTTGCGTACTACATGAGGCTAACTGGACGCCAGAAAAAMATGTGTAACAAGTTTCTTTTAAATTTTTTTTCATGCAAGGAAAAATAAACATAAAAAACAGGGTTGAATACCAATGCTTTTCTCAAGATGGTCGACCTCTAGTTTCCAGCCTCATACATGTTCAAATGAACCCCCGGGGCAATCTTGCTGTTAAAAGCACGTTAAAAACGCGTCACATCCCAGTTCAGTGCCCCACTAGCCCCGGGGGTCCGGGGTTTCAATTGACTAGTGCATAATTTTGTTCATTCTCTATGTTTTTAATCTCTCTCAATCGAGTTCTGCTGATGGCCTTGGGTCAGCGAAATCCCCACACTTCTTGGCAAAAAATATTCACACAGATTGTTACTTTTCCCCATATTTTTGCAGTATTTTCAATATAGCATCATCTTTTTCTTGGTGTCCAAATGTCAATGCGAAAAGTCATCCTGTTATTCATAAAAACCTCAAAACGCTCGACGAAAGTAAATTGCTTTTCATCTTCGCAAATCGATTTCCCGGATGTGTCGACGCGTCCTGTAGTTAGAGCAGATTTCGTATGACTGTGCAAAAAAACACGGTACGTTGGTGCTGTGTCCGTACCGTGCCGTAGCCGTGATGCATTGGAAAATCTTTACTTTCATTTGAAATCCTAGAAGGCGAGGTTCCGTGACCGTGCCGTG